CTGCCATTTGCTTCACTGAAAAATTTTTAGGGGGTGCAGGTTTAGACTCGCTCCTTCCTCTGCATCTTTGTGTGCTTCCAGTTCGATAAGATCTTCGTTACTTAGCTCTTCTGCTACACTTTCAACCAAATGTTCAACATCTTCATTATCAATTTCTAAGTGAAGCTGTTTACCTAACTCCACTATCTTGTTACTAATCTCAGAAATATCTTCAATGTCATTAAATCCTCTGAAACTGTTCACATATCTTTTCAGTGTTTTCTTCCATATTCCATTCATGCACTGATTTGTAACCTGATCCCATGCTGCAATAATGTTCATTATACATGACAAAACGTACTCCTTCCAAAACTCTCTGAGCGTTTTCTCACCTTCAGTAGCAGCAACAGCCTGAGCGAAGGTCGTACGTAAATAATTTGCTTTAAAGGCAGCAAAAGCACCTTGATCGATGGGTTGGATGACAGAGGTAATGTTAGGTGGAATATACACTACCTTAACATCAGGGTGCATGTCGTCCAGGTGTGGTGGGTGTCCCGGAGCATTATCCAAAATCAGCAAAATCTTGAATGGAATCCGTTGTTGCAGACAGTACTCCTTGGCTCGAGGAATGAAACAATTCATGAACCAATCCTCAAACAGTACAACGGTCATCCAGGCTTTCTTGTTACTGCGATATAACACTGGCAGTGTGTACTTGCTGACATGTTTAAAAGCCCTGGGGTTCTCTGAATGATAGATCATGAAGGGCTTGATCTTGAAACCAGCAACATTCCCCCCCCTACAGAAGTGTAATTCTGTCCTTGAATCATGGCATTGTTTTCGCCTCTTTGTGGATGTATGTCCGTTCAGGCATGCGCTTCCACAATAATCCAGTTTCATCCACATTGAATATTTGCTCAGGCAAATAATTTCCTTCCACAATCACACGATTTAGCTCCTCCTTAAAAGCTTCGGCAGCACCAACATCAGCACTAGCTGCCTCTCCACTCACCTTAACATTATGTAAACTATAGCGGTTCTTAAATCTGTAAAACCACCCATGACTTGCTGTGAAGGTTTGTCTGCACTCATCTCCTGCCTGCTCCTTCAGGCTTTGGAACAGGCTTCTTGCTTTAGCCTGTAAGGTTAGAAGGCTTAAGGGTACACGCTTCTGTATTTGGTCTTCTATCCATATCACCAATAATTTTTCCATATCGTGAATGGGACCTTGCCTTTTCTTCATAATTATAGTTCCCTTTATAGGTGTTGTTCCTTTCACTACATCACGAATACGTTCCTTGTCCTTCAGAATAGTGGATATGGTCGAGTGCGAGAAACCTAGGTCGCATGAAATTGTTGCTACAGTTTTTCCATTCTCATACGGCATTATTATCTTCATTTTCATCTCAAAAGTAATTGCCTGTCTCCTTTTCTTCTGAGCACCACCAGCACTCTCACTTGTGCGCTTTCCTGTCATTATAAAGTCAATTAAATACGATAACGTAAGTACACAGCGCGATCAGTATAGGATACGATAGCCAAACACCAACGAAGTGCTCTACTGGATGGGAGCTGTTCCCACGCGGTGACCCAAGCCACGCTCTCGTCCAGGACGGAAAAGTTTCGGTATAGAAAATGTGCGCATCATTTGAAAAAATTTTTGGTTCCAACTGCGCAGTCGTAAGTGCGGACAGTCGTTACGGTCAGAGCAGATCGTAAGTGCGGATGGACGTAGGTCGAGTCGGTAATAAGTCGGGGAGTACCTGTACTGTACATTGTTACCAAACAAACCAACTGATGCATCATCTCCTCACCACTTACCATCTTCATTCCTCCCTCCCTCCCACCCACTGCATCTCACCGACACTCTGATTCTCTCTCATTCTACTATGACTGTCATTCCCATAAACAACAACTGACAACTCTGTTTATGTACCTTTAAGTTTTACAGATTTTATCTTCAGTATTTTGATGTGTTGCAATTATTTTGTCAGAGCTCAGTAATGTACAGTACATTAATCTATCACAGAGATTAATCCAGGAACACATCCCCCTTATTACATTAATTTATATGGTTAAATGGTTTTGAAGAACGTAAGCCACCAAAAGAAAGCGTTTTAGTGAAACCTAACCCTTTTGTTCAATGGGGACTTACTGTACTTGCTTCTCATTAAATTTATTTTTTATTAACACATAATACAACTGCATAAAGGAATTGTACATACCTGTGTAGTATTTGGAGGGCACAAATAGGGGTTTTTTTTTTTCAAATTTTATTTATCTTGGGTCCCCAATTTATGGTACACTATAACATTAAAGATGGGGTACATATTAAAGAATGTTATTTGTGAAATTCTACATTCACGGGTGTCCCAGGAACCTATCCCTCGCAAATGTTGAGGTACAGTACTACTGTACAGTACTCCCTCTTTATCGACGGATTTTTTATCGCCGGTTTCGATTATCGACGGATTATTTAGCCGGATTTTTATTTTGAACTGTGCTTGATATAATACATTCACGGAAATGTAATATTTTTGCTAAAATGACGTATGTATTACAGTGGAAAGTGGGATCAAATCGTGACGAAAACAATGACTTGCGCTTTCTTTCGTTCAAAAGATGTTACCGTAATCACTTTTCGAATGGTTTAGTTAAAAAACTGTTGTATTGTATTACAATAATATCCTAATTGACTTGAATAAATATTACGATACCATATTTCTGAATATTTTCATTAAAATCCATCAAAATCATTTTCCTTGTCATCGTCTGCAGCACCAAACAGCTTCTCCCAGTCCTCTCCTTGAACAGGGCTAGAGGCTACGTGTTTTTCGAATCGTTTTCAGTTAAAAAATTATTACATCACACGTATATTTTACCTAAACTGCGCCTGAATGAATATATTCTCGGAAATAAATAGTAGTTTTGCTGAAACGTGACGTATTTCAATGTAAAATAGGATAAAATACATGACGAAAACAAAAGACTTTACCTAACCTTCCAATGTTCTTGAGATGTTACTCGTTTTTTTAATAGTTTTCGGTTAAAATTCTGTTATATTACAATGATATTCTATTCATACTGTCCTTGATATAATACATTCACGGAAATGTAATATTTTTGTTGAAATGACGTATGTATTACAGTGGAAAGTGGGATCAAATCGTGACGAAAACAATGACTTGCGCTTTCTTTCGTTCAAAAGATGTTACCGTAATCACTTTTCGAATGGTTTAGTTAAAAAACTGTTGTATTACAATAATATTTCCTCCTAATTGACTTGAATAAATACTTGAATGGAAATATACAATATTTTTGTTGAAACTACCCGCGTTTCAGTGTAAAGTGTTGTAATAATAAATGGTAAACAATTTGCCTTGGGCATCCGGATTTTTGGACTTTTACTGTACTGTACACTGTTTTGTTTACTGTAAGGACCGATGTTCACTTCAATAAATGAAATCGTAAGTTTGCTAGTATTTTTGTCCACTTATTATATTATTATTTATACACTATTATTTAAGGTTATGTGTAAAGGAAACGCATTAATGCTTAAAGGTACATTTATTCAACATATGCTAATAATAGTTAGAAAAATTACGTAACCATCACGGTATCGACGGTTTCTTTATCGACGGCCGTTTACAGAACGTAACCCCCGTCGATAAAGAGGGAGTACTGTACTTGAATTTGTGGATGCAATGAACATGATTGTATGCAACATGTTGTTTAAGAAGAGTGTGAGTAGGCCTATTATGTACGAGTCAGGTGGAACAAAAAAGGATTGATTACTTTCTTATTAGGAAGTCAGATAGGAAGCTTGTTAGGGATGTAAGGGTTATAGCAGGGGAAGAATGTGCCTTACAACACAGACTGCTTGTGTGCGACATGTAGTTTAAAAGGTGCAGAGAAGGGAAGACGATGTATGTTCCAAGAAAGAGAGTGTGGGAGTTGAAGGAGCAGAATTAGGGAGAAGATTTTATATTGAGTTGAGAAGATAGTAGGAGACCATGCAACATGGAAATTTTCCATCAGGTAATTGCTGCTAACCCATGCAAGCATGGAAAATGGACTTAAAATGTTGTTGATGATAATGAGTGATGATTTTGGCAATTGCAGCAGTCTTTGTATTATTTTAAATAAAGGGAATTACTTTTTGTTTATGCTGCAAATATAGTTGAGAAAGAGCTTATTTCCAGCTTGAAGGGACTGGTAAGCATTGTTGATTTGAAAATAAAAAACTTTCCACTGCAGACATTAATTCCATGAAGAAAAACCAGTGGCTGAACAACAATCAAAAGCATTTTTCAGAGACTACCTTCTCACCGTCCAATTAACACTGGAACTATATTTTCATATATGTAGGATGGAACTTATGTACAATGGCCTTGAGATCATGACACAATAAAGATGCAAACAATGTGAACAATCAGCAATGTAACAAAAAATCAAGTCCTTTAATGAAAATCCAATCTATCACCTTAGCAGCATGTAGAAACTCTGATACGTACTGTATATTTAAAACATCCTGTGCACGTTCACATTATCTTTTGTTGAATGTGAAAACAAAATGTAAAAGGACTTTCACATTACCAAAAAGTTTTAAATAATTACAGTGCAGCTACTCAATTAATTTAAACATTAATGATAATTGTATCTACAGTACATTGTTTAAAAAAATGTAATCCATTTTTTTGGGTGTTCAGTCATTCCTCTGGAAACCTTGCCATTAAGACATTAATCAGTAACTATAATCCTCATATACAATGTTGTTTTACAGCAAAACAATGAAGAAAAAACAGAAGAATGGAAATGGAGTAGATGAATATGAGAATGGTACCAATTTGTACAGTACTGTACAGTACTACTACTGTGCCATAATGCCAAAAGAGAATTTGTATTATCAGTGTAAAGACATTTACTGTAATGTATCTACTGTACCTTCAAGAAGTTACATGTTATAAATAAGTAGCTTAGTTCAATAAAAGTGACATCAGCCATAACTTTGGGGCACCCACCTTATTAACAGCATAATAGTTCAAGGAGACACAGTAGCGGAGGGTGTGTAGACATTGCTGCAACCGTAAAATTCGATTATCAATCTCTTCCATCTCTGCTTGCTTCTCAGTCATGGCATAATGAAATTCTTTGTCAACCACCTTCACCACACGTTCACTTAGTTCATCCTCGGCTGGTGGGAAAAAAAAAACATCGGTGACAAAACATTTTAAAGCAAGTACGTAACAGCTCTTTGAGACTCACCAGGAGAGTAGCTCACCCTCCACCCCCCTAAGTGTATCAGTCCTAGAATTAATTTTTTTTCATGTAACTTCAACTTAAGGTAATTGATACAAGCTCATAAATAGGAATTTAAGCAATATGATTTCTGCTAAAATCCTCCTTCCAATTTAAATTTCAGTCTATCTCGATTATGTAATAAAATCACTACAGCATTTTACAGCTAATTTTTCTGTAAAATATATAAAAAACCTTCTTATACCATTTCCTACAAATTGTTATATATTTTCTTACTTCCTTTAAACAGCGAAAGGCATCTTACCTCTTTTGTGCATTTCTCTCATTCGCTTGACATCTGGTGGACGCATATAGTCTGGATCATCTATACTCAACATCCTCTTTGAACCGAACACCTGTGAAGTGTCTCTACTGTCCTCATCTTCCATCTTGAGGGAGGTTCTCTCAGCACTGCTGCTACAAGAGCTTTGGCCCTGCTGAAGTAAATATTTGTTAAAACGGTACTGTACAGTACTAGAATAACAGAGTACCTGTATATAACTTAAGCTATTCTCCACAACAACATGAATTATTTTTCTATTAACTGTAAAGTACATATTCCTCATACTAAATCCTTTAAAGCAGATCTAAATTCTGAACCATCAACAAAACACTTGAAAAGAATAAGAACATTACTGTATGACAAACTTAGTTGCCCTGTGATTATTCATCTTAATTGATCACAACAAAAATGTATGACCTAGCCACACCAATGTTTCCAACCCCATTGCTTGTCAGTTTTCATCCCAATCCTTACCTGAATAAAGCACCCTATGATTTTTTTTTACTTATAGGTATAAGCAGGTTAGGTTCATATAGGTAACAATTAGTTTGCATTATTTAATAACTTATATAACTGTCTCAAAGTCACATACATCTCAAAGTCACATACAGGCAGTCCCTGACTTATGACAGGGATGCATTCCTGGACCCTGATCGTAAGTTGATTTGTTCGTAAGTCAGAAGTGTTAATTCCATAGTTTATGTTAGGTTAAAGCACAACTTTGCCCATACAAAATAAAAATATCCCATACATAATAAATAATGTGAATACTGTAAATAAAGTGGTTAAAGAATACTGTATGGAACAATGAAAATAGAGTTACTGTAAAAAATGGGATTTTAATTAAACAAAATTTGCGATGAATGTACAGTACTGTACAGTATTGGGATCCCGTTTGTAAGTGCAGGTGTCTGTAAATCGGATGGTTGTAACTTGGGGAATGCCTAAACAATAGACCCTAGCCATTTGTGAGTTTGCAATTGGCAATTTTGAAGATTCGCAGAAAGAAAATGGTGGCTAGCTTGCAAGCCTTTTCCCGCAGCACAACGAGTCACTCCACGCAGCATCTCCTGTTGTACTTTCTAAAATTTTGTATTTCTGTGTGAAATGGCCCCTAAAAGACTGCCTAGTGTCAGTGCTAGTGATGATAGTGGAGTGAATTGTAAAAGGCAGAAGTCAGTGATGACCCTGACAAAGACAGTTGAAATATTAGACAAGTTAAAAGAGGGGATGAGTGCTGCCACGGCTGGTCAGGTTTTTTGTATAGGTATACAGTAGTGCACTAAGGTAGTATATAAGTTGCTATTCACACTTTTGCCAATTCGTGCCCTTTCTTGGAACCTATCACTCGCTAATGACAAGGGTCTACTGTATACCAAAATTTATACATTTTATCATTCATAAAAAGTGTCCCTTAGCTCCCTTAGTTTTCAATACTGTTATCTTCATCAGTATTCTTCAGGAAGTCCTTTTCTTATTTTCATTGATGAGTAGGGTACAGTACACTAAAGAAGAGTGCATACTGTACAGTAAGTCCTCACTTAACGTTGCCCCCGATATGGTTGTTTCATTATAATGTCGCTATTCTTTAGAAACCCATGATTCGAATAACGTCCCACCGATTCAGAATAACGTCGTCATGGACTACTTTGTACGGCGCATCTCATCTTGACGCGCTACGCTCTCACCCATGGAGCGTCACAGCGTCCCCAGTCTTTGTCAGCCTACCACAGCGTTCGTGCATGCTTAAGGGTTTTTGCTCTTAAAACTGTACTTTAACCATTCGAAATGGATTCCAAGTGCCCATCAAGTGCTACTGATGCTTGTGTTGTGAAGAAGCAACAAAAGACCATTAGCCTTGCTACGAAAATGGAGGTTTTAAACCGTTCTGAGAAGGTGAAAAGGAGCCACCCGCCGGGTCTCAGTGACTCGCCTCCCTCCTCCTCCTCTCCTGCCCTCTTCCTCCTCTCCTGCCCTCTTCCTCTGCCTCACTACCCACCAAACACCTCCGTCCATCAGTGAGTACAATACAAAATGATTTACTGTAGTTTATTTATATACTGTACATACTATTTTATATAAAAATGCCATTGAATTTCTGTATATGTAATGCATTTTATGGGGCAAAGAGGTGCCTGGGAACAAAACTCCCGTATTTTACCTATTTCTTAAGGGGAAATTTGATTCTGTTAATGTTGTTTCCGTTAACGTCGAGGTTTTCAGTAACGGAACTACAACGTTAAGCGAGGACTTACAATATTCACTTAGAATACTGCATATTAATGTATATTTTCAGTATTTTGTATACAGCGATACCCCGATTTACGCGGTCAATTGATCCCACGTGGTACCGCGTAAAACGAAAACCGTGTAAATGGAATAACAAAACATATGGGATTAATTCCAATAGAGACTGGCCCAACCCCCAAACTCCACTTTTTCCGACACAATACCTATGTTGTAGTAAAAATAACATCTTAATTTTATGATGGTATGCACACACAATTAATATTTAAGAGAAATATAGTCGCCAGGTTAATGTCCATTCAAATAATGGACTCAACTCCCCTCACCCCCTCTTCCCACGCTCGCTGGCTCCTACCTCTCTGAGAAATGTTTGGGTGAAAACACTAGATTTTAAGGTATAGTAATAAATAATACCTCAGACTAAAGTTAGGATAATATAATTGACATGTCTTGATTCCTTGCAGGTCAGGGAATATTTTGAATGGAAATTTCATATATTTTGCACAAAAGATAAAATATTTGCTTTGTGTAAACCAAATTATTACATTAGATCTAAAATTTGTATGTCTAATGCAAAATCCATGATGTTTACAGTATATTCAAAATGATCATCATATTGTACGAATTCCAGCAATGTAAATTATATTCTGCCGGGTAATTTGTATGAATTTTATGAGCTAAATAAAAAAATTATACTTCACCCGCATATATGAGTAGATGCACTGTGTAAAATGAAATTCCGGTTCTGGCTAGGTACCGCGTAAATGTAGAATCGCGTAAAGCGAAACCGCGTAAATTGGGGTAATACTGTACTGTACATTATACAGAACTGTATTCTTTATAAAAAAAAAAAATATATATATATATATATATATATATATATATATATATATATATATATATATATATATATATATATATATATATATATATATATATATATATATATATATATATATATATATATATATATATATATATATATATATATATAGTATATATATATATATATATATATATATATATATAAATATATATTTTTTTACGGGGATTAGCCCTCCCGGGCACAGGTCACTGACCCACATCAGGGCCTGGGGGCAAAAATATGAAAATGAAAATGACAATGATGATGATAATAATAACAATAATAATAATAATAATAATAATACTGTAATAATAATAATAATCAAAATACCTGTACTAAAAATAAAAATAATTTACTAAAAATAATAATAACCATAAATACATACAAAAATGAGAAAAATATATCAAGAATGAGAAATGATATACTGTACATTATGTATGTTGTGTTGTCAAAGTAAGAGAAACAATTGAGACCCTGCAATTGTGTGTAAATGAGGCAGAAAGTCAGATCAGCAACCTAGGACTTGGTCACAATTTTCATGATGCCATATGGCAGCAGGGTCTACCATTAGACAAGACATTATGCTTCCAATATCTTCCCAGGCGGTAGTACCTCCCTGTTTGGTAGCTGCCTATTACCTGAAGATCCTGGTCTGTAAATGCCTGGATGAGTAATTATAGACAAGTGGGCCTGACCAGCATACCAGCATAGTATGTAAAGTACTTGAGAGCATAATAAGAGATGTCAAGATGGAACATCTACTACGAAACAACCTTGTAAAGGATTGCCAACACGGTTTTGTGCCAGGACGCTCCTTCTTAACACAATTACTCAAGGTACTGGATGTTTGGACTCGAATTCTGGAACAGGGTGGCAATATTGACAATGTATACTTAGATTTTGCCAAGACTTTTGAGAGCATACCCATAAAAGGCTAAAAATTTAAGTGGAAGAGTACAGGATTCGGGGAAGTGTCCTAGTGTGGATCAGACTTTCTCTATGATCGCTAGCAGTGTGTGGTGATTAATGGCAAAAAATCATCATGTGTACCCTTGACAAGCGGGGTACCATAAGGCAGTGTATTGGGCCTGATTTTGTTTGTTTGCTTCATAAATGACATGCCAGAAGCTATACATTCCTCCATACAAATATTTGCAGATGATGCCAAGTTATTTGGGGAAATTAAGAACCAAGCAGACTATGAAGAGTGACAGAAAGATCTCTGTGAGCTTCAAGAATGGTAAAAGAAATGGATGCTAAGATTCAATGTCACAAAGTGTAAGAGGGATGCACCTGGGATATACCAACGGTAAGGAGGCATATCACATGTACCAACAGAATGAAGAAACTCCATTAATTGAGATTGAATGTGAAAAGGACCTGGGTGTGTATGCTGACAATGAGCTGAAGATCTTGAGCCATTGTGAGAAGAAGGTGAACCAAGCAACTAAATTATTAGGTCTTATAAGAAGGTTGTTCAGATATCTAGGTATCCCTTATAACTATCTTCAAGCGTGAGTAGCTTTCCGCCTGCAGTATTGTCACCCTGTTTGGTCCCCGAGATATGCTAGGGACTGTCAGTTGATTGAAAATGTACAAAGGAGGGTCACCAGACTGGTGCTGGCACTTTGGTATCTCAGCTACCAAGAGAGATTAGAACACCAGCAATTGACTATCTTATACTAAAGACAGGCAGAGGGGGGGGGGGCAAATTTAGGTGTATAAACATCTCAAAGGGTACTACGGTACTCAGTCGAGTGTTCTTACCTGGAGCTGGCAGACGCCCACCCCACAAGGGGTCACAGCTCAAGGTTGAAGAAGCTGCAGGTCCAGAAAACTGTGAGGGCTAACTTTTCGGAGTGAGAGTTGTGAACTCGTGGAACAAACTGCCAGAGTGTTGTGATCAGAATTAACCAGCACTGGAGTAGGTTTAGAGACATTCAGGAGCCAGTGCATGCCCAGTACTTTTGGTAAATCTATAGGACTAACCCACGAGCAAAATTTGATTGAAAAAAATTATAAAAACACCAGATTTTCATTGTTATATTATAGTGGACACTGTTGTAGTATGTGGAATTAAGTTAAAGATTTTATTTAAAAAAAATAAACGTTACTTAACATTTGTGGGTATGAAAAACAGACCTAACCAAACAAACCTACCTAACCTTACCTAACTTCCTTACCGGGGTGCTCTGCCCCCCGGACCCCCCGGTATATTAAACAGAAAGCACTTACTATAATATGGTGAAATTTGAGGCATTTTCTGGACACGAGATGATATGGCCACATCAATGCTATGCATCCCAGGCGGCGGAGTGATTTACTGTGTTGCTGGGTTCCACAATAAATGATTATCATATCAGAACTTACTGATCAAAATAATGTAAGAAAATAAAGTCTCTATATAAGGAACAATGTTGTGATCTTTAAACAATTGAAGGGTCTCGTTGTCTTTACCCCTAAATTCACAAATTTGTCCATGTAAGATCGGCGACAACCCTCACACGACATGCTGAAAAACAAACTGCCCCGGGCGCGAGAAAAGTCCCTCAGCAGGCCGCGGCCTCATTACCACCCGCAAGATAAACTAGTGCACGCCTAGGCTCCTAGGCGACACAACAATTGATCATGACTATAATATATTCACTAGTATACTACGCAAAGCACAAGAACAAAATATACCATACAGAAAAATTAGGTCAAATAAGAATGAGCCAAAGTGGATGACCAAAAAACTTAAACATGACATAGGAATAAAGAAAAGAATTTAAAAGAAATTAAAGGGAGGGGAGGAGCAGCTCAGAAATAGGTATACAGTGGTCCCTCGGTTAACGAACGCCTCGGTTAACGAAATTTCGATAAACGAATTACCTTCCATAAGAATCTTCATTTCGGTTAACGAACAAAAATTCGGTAAACGAAATTCTTACGAAAATGTTTCGACATGCTTTGACTTGCTCACCAGCTGGAAGATTAGTCCGCCAATACAGAAATTGGTTCTAGGGCTTACATTCATTAAAATTGGAGTAAATATCAAGAAGGTTGTACAGTACTATTCAATAATTTTCCAAGTTTTGGATTAAAATTTTTAGTCATTTTAATACTTATTTAACATAATTGCAGTACTGTACAGGGAACTAGTTTTTGGTGTGCCCATCAGCCACTTCACTCACCCACCAAGGCCTCAGTTTGTGTCTTTGTTCAGTGGAGGAAACATCTTGCTTGTGGGTCTCTTGAACAGAGTATTTTTACGTTTTTACAGTACAATTATTGGTCATTCTGAAATTTATTTAACATATTGACAATATATAGTGCAGTGCAGTGTTGATTCAAAGAAAATAATCTTGAATTACACCTAATGAACTTTCAATTTTATGGGTGAAATGACAGCATCAAGCATGGGGTGATTTCTCTTCCACCCCCACTTCCTTCTCTTCTCCCTTCTCCTTCACCCCCACTTCTAATTCCCATCATCATCATCATCATCATCATCCAGGAGCCTTCTACACACACACCTCAAAGTAAGTGTACTTTACTGCATTTTTTTTTTACTTTGTATGTAATTTTCGGTGAGCTGGAACCAATTCCCCAAAATCCCATTGAAACAATGGTTAACAAAATTTTCGGTTAACGAACGACCTTCTGGAACGAATTGTGTTCGTTAACCGAAGGACCACTGTAATGAACTATCTAGGAATGTTAACCCTTAGGCCCTGGGTGACGTTCCAGAGCGTCCGCCTATTTTCCCGCCGTTTTTTTTTAATTAATTTTGGAAATGTTAAATTTTTTTCTCGATTTAACCCCGCATGGGGTGTATTGCCAGCAGCACCCTAACCAAGGGCTTAAGGGTTAAGAAAAATGTAAGGAAGGCAAAGAGGGACCACAAAATCAGGATAGCAAGAGAATCCAAGGCGAATCCCAAGGGATTTTTCCAGGTATATCGGACAAAGGTCAAGGACAAAGTGGGACCTTTAAAGTCAAAGAGAGGAGAAGTGATCGATGATACTGAAAAAATAAGCAAAGCATTAAACAGATACTTCTTATCAGTTTTCACAGAAGAAATTCACAAGGAAATTCCAGAGGTGAAACTGATATTTAGGGGAAATGAAGAAGAGAAATTAAAGAATATCACTATCAGAAAAGATGATGTTCTTAAGAAGATAAATAAATTAAAGAAGACAAAATCCCCAGGGCCGGATGAAATCTTCCCTCGAGTTTTGAAAGTGTGTAAGGAACAGATTAGAGGACCCCTTGTAAATTTATTTACAAAATCATTAGACACAGGAGTTGTGCCAGGCTTGTGGAAACAGGCAAATGTAGTACCCATATTCAAAAAGGGAGGCAGAGCAACAGCGTCAAATTACCGGTCGATTAGTTTGACGTCAGTAGTGGGGAAATTTCTTGAATCAATTATAGCAAATAGCATTTGATCGCATTTAGAGAAAAACTAATTTATCTACGACTCTCAACATGGGTTTACAGAAGGAAAATCTTGTCTAACAAATCTTCTGACTTTTTTTAGGAAAGTCTTCAAGGTAGTAGATGATGACAAAAATTACGATGTTATTTACTTAGACTTTAGCAAAGCGTTTGACAGAGTACCGCATCAGAGGTTTCTGAGAAAAGTTAAGGCTCATGATATCAAGGGGAAAGTTTTAAATTGGATAAAATCATGGCTCACCGATCGAACACAGAGGGTCAGCGAAGATGGTGTTAAATCTGAGTGGGGCTGTGTAACCAGTGGGGTTCCCCAGGGGTCAGTACTGGGCCCACTCTTGTTCATAATCTACATAAACTATCTAGATAATGGAATCAGCAGTGACATTAGCAAGTTTGAGGATGACACCAAAATAGGGCGGCAGATTAATTCGGGGCAGGATGCAAATGCACTACAGGAGGATTTAAATAAACTGCCGGAGTGGTCAGAAAAATGGCAAATGAAATTCAACACCAGCAAGTGCAGCATACTTAATATTGGAAGAACAAATACTGTCAATGTATACAGACTTAACAACATCAACCTAGAGAAGTCGACTTGTGAAAGAGACTTAGGGGTACTTGTAAGCCAGGACCTACGGCCTAGAAAACAGTGCGTTAATGTTCGAAATAAGGCAAACAGAGTATTAGGTTTTATATCTAAAAGTGTAAGTGATAAGAGTGCAGAGGTCTTATTGCAACTATATCTTGCGCGAGTCAGGCTGTACCTCGATTATGCGGTTCAGTTCTGGTGCCCTTATTATAGAATGGATATCAATTCACTGGAGTCAGTGCAGCGAAGAATGACGAAAATGATTCCGGGACTTAGAAACCTTCCATATCAAGATAGGTTAAAGTAACTAAACTTGCATTCCCTAGAAAGACGAAGAGTGCCGGGAGATATGAAGTATTCAAGTGGGTGAAAGGAATCAATAAAGGAGATATAGATAAAATTCTTATAATATCTGAGCAGGATAGGACTAGTAGCATTGGATTTAAGTTGGATAAGTTTAGGTTTAGGAGGGAGATAGGAAGGAACTGGTTCACAAATAGGGTGGTGGACGAGTGGAACAACCTTAGCAACTTTGTAGTAAGTGCTGGAATGCTGGAAAGTTTTAAAAGGAGGCTAGATAGATTCATGGATGATAGAGAGTGGTAGTAACTCTCGACAGGAGCTGCCATGAACAGGCCAACCGGCCTATTGCAAACTCCTTATTTTCTTATGTTCTTAATTATCTATGAAACGAACAATTTCCACAATAAATGATCATCATATCAGATCTCACTGATGAAAATATCTTAAGAAAATAAACAATAATAAAAATAACTCACTCGCCAGTTAGCCCTATATATTAACCGTACTTTCCAAAGGTGTGTAACAGAGACGTGACCAATCGCCCAAGAAGCTAACAAGCCGATCAGTGGTGAAGAGGATAAAAGTAGAGTATAGTAAAGGTAGTGGTGGTGATAGCTGTGGTGGTGGTGATAGCTGTGGTGATGGTGGTGATGGTAGTGATGGTAGTGATGGTAGTAATGGTGGTAATGATGGTGGTAATGATGGTGGTAATGGTGGTGGTAATGGTGATGGTGATGGTGGTGGTAGTAATGGTGCAGTGGATTTCTCCCATACAAACGCTGTTTGTCGCTGAGTAGCCGACCCCGCGAATTCCCCAGTGTATGCCTCGTGGTCTAGGTCAACCAGCGCCGCCATACATGACGGAGGTCAACTATCTACCCACGCCTACCTCCGCTATAAAAGACCTGACCTCGTGGTGACCGGTCTCTTCTTCTAGCTACAGCCGCAGCAAGCAACACCACCTCCTCCTCCGCCTGCCTGGCGGTCCTCGCTCCCGCCGGCGAGCATGGCGACCCACAAGCTGGTCCTCCTCTGAGCACCCTCACCAACCAGCTCTCTCTACATCACACTTGTAACAACGCTGCCACTTCCCAGCACCAAGCTGCATTGTACATCCAATACAACATGTATACAGAGAGCACATTGTGAGTTTCCTTTCTCCATCCCATCCTGAGTGTGAACCCAAACATCCCATACCCCACAATGGTGGTGATGGTGATAATGGTAGTAATGGTGGTGGTGATGATTATAATGGTGGTGAAAGTAATAATGGTAGTGGTGGTGCTGGTTGTAATGATAATGTGTCAGCCAACTTAACATACCGACTAGAATCTTTAGGTCAAAACATAAACACCGCGGTCGACAGCACCCATATACCATACACATACTTATTAGAACAAACAAACATTTATATTATATACTCACCATGCTTGCACCTAACATAGACACTTCCTCTTCAGAATTAATCATATTGGCAGATCTAAAGGACAGCAGTGTGAAGTTTTTGTGACAAATAAGAGAGAGCTCCGGGTGTCCAGGAGCCCGCCCCAACACATGGCCACACCACGGTCACTACCTACACTACCTTCATTTACTCTAAATATTGAAGGCGATCTTAACACAAAATACTTAACTCTTTAACCTAGCAAAGTTATCTAAGTATACGAAAATCCGATAATATGAATACAAAATTATTGTTGATAATTACTCAGATAATTAAGCTGTAGTGATATTATGCTAAAATTTTATGTTTGGACAATCATCTATTTATTTATTTTTTTCTATTCAATATGAAATGCTTTAGAAAACTAATCCAGATAAAATAAAATTATGGAAATGTGTTGTATAATTTAACGTTAATGATGGTTAAGTGTGTAATAAACCCAAGTCCAAACAACACACACGCTGAACCTTCATTAGTGACAAGTTTCTGGGACGTGGTCTATTACGGTCCTAGACTTGAGTTATGTAGTCTAGTGACGAACAGTCATTTGTACCGTGACTTAATTGCCACAATTAAAATGATATTACCATAAAAATAGTCACATAAAGTTTATGTTATAGCATCAAAGCCATCTGCTGGCTGTAAATATACACTGGTGTGATCTTTACATGTTTGTATAGTATTTACATATATACAGTATATACATGTATATTGAAGAGTTATTTGCATACATATAGATATAGGTAGAGTAAAATCGTTTTGGTCATCCATCGAATTTTGGGATTTTAAGTTCTGGAGTCGGTAGTTCAGACAATTTTAAGACTTCTGTTGCTTTTCCGTCGGAAATTTATATTTTTCAAGTAGTATGTTAATCGATAAAATTACCAACAATATTACTTGTTTAAAGTGAGCAGGGCTTTAAAGTAGAGGGAACATGTGGGGTAAAACTCAAGAAAAAATGAAGCACTAAACAAACCTTTGAAAACCTGAAGTAACTTTTCCTAACCTTTAAAAATCCTAAACTATATAAGCTTTACATATTAACGTTTTGGTGCTTAGTAGGTGATGGTGTTAATTTTTCGGTTTTTAGATGGGTGATCCATAAATTAGGGTAATAATTGATGACTGACCCACCAGTGATTTTTCATCGAAAACTATTATAAAATCGTTGCAGTTTCACTGTGTTTTATAGTGCACACTGGCATAGTACATGCAGATGTGTTAAAAAGTGAGTATATAATTTTAACTTAACTTAACCTAACCTAACCGTAATTGATAAAAACAAGGGTAAATATTCGTCAATTGGCTGCCCTCAGGTTTTAATGCAAGAATAGTTATTATTGGTGTATTATGGTGTGTTTTACTAAAATCTGACCTTCATTTCTTGTGCAGATTAGTGGTTATTGAAAAAAATTATGATGAAATTTCAGTCATGCACCGGTTTTTCTCTCGCTGTTATTAATGTATTTTTCATAATGTTTAGACAATTCTAAGACCCCCTTTTTTCCTTTGATATTTTCGCCGGAAATTAGGGATAACCGAGATATTAATTTTTCAGTATTATTAGATTTGGTAATTCACAAATGTCACCATTTGTTGTTTACGTCTCACAGAGATCTGACCACCCATCACGCAGTGCTCCTTATGGTATTATTTTACTTCTGGACATAGCGCGCCCAAAAGTTATAAACTACTGAAACATTTAGATTTAGCTATTCTGAGCATTTTGAACCCCATATATACACGGCGGAAGGATAATAGCGACACAATTGAATTGAATTGATTTTACTTAATTTCAGTCTTTGTGAGGAGATGTTGTGGCAGGTTGTCAGATTCTCTTAATATGGCCTCACAACGTACGTACATGTGATATATCTAACACTCAGGATTGAGGTAGAAAAGAAACTCGCAATGCGTTTCCCGTATATATACTGTATTGTTGCACAACACAGTGTTAAAGAGATACTAGGTCAGGCGAAGCTTGCTCAGAGTTCCTGTAGGGCGAGGAGCTTTCTGAGGGAGCGTGTGGTGTGGAGCTGTTGACAGATGTTGCTTGCCGGTGACGGTAAGTAGAAAGAGAGCGATGACGGCCACGTGAGGTCTTATATAGCGGGGGTAGGCGTGGCTTGATGGTAGATCTCCGCTTTGTTCAGGGGAGCTGGTTACCTGACCTTGACCACGAGGGATACACTGGGGAATTCGCGGGAGGTCGGCTAGTTATCGACACACAGTGTTTGTAGGGGAGGAATCCACTACAATGTTACCGCCGTGAAACCGAGTTAGCTATTGAAGTCATCCAGTTGTAACCAATGATGTATTGATATCATCAAACAAATTTTTTTCGACCAATCACATTTGATTTTTCTCAAAGGAAGCAGCCTGGAAACAATTTTAATTTCATTGACCAGTCTCACAATGGCCGTGGTGGCGACAACTTTTTATTTTATTTATAATATATACGTATTTCTTAATTTTTTAAGATTTTCTCTATCTACAGTCATAAATCACCTGTACTGTAGTAGGCAGGGCATGAAGAGTAAGGGAAATTGCTGGGCAAAACCGATCATATGACATTAAAGTGATGTCTCTACGTGCTTGGTACGTAAAGAAATTAATTAATTACCGCAAATACTCCTCGGAGAAATTTACTGAGTCACCATGTGTCATTTGTTTGTTCATACCATGGAATACTCCATGGTATACACTGACCCATTTGGTCCGAGCGTACAATAACGTCGACAAAAAATGTAAAATTACACCATGACGCTTCAACAAGTTGCTTTCATTGGTACCAGATATCATAATAAGTACTTTCTGTTTAATATGGTAGGGGGGTCTGGGGAGGAGAGCCCCCTTGCTAGGAAGTTAGGTAATGTTAAGTAGGATTCTTTGGTTGGTTAGGCCAGGTTCTATTAGGTTATAGTAAATGTGCTGTTCTAAGACATTACTAACAATTTAGCCTAGTCTAACTTTACTTTATGGTGGTTATGACCCTTAAGCAGGAACTTGGGGAAATTATTCTCTAGAAGATTAACGTTTCCTTATCTCATGAAAAGCTCCCCAAAAATGGGTAGGAATGTATTTGGCAATATTTTTACCAGTATTTTTCATCCAAAATATATGCCTGGTGCATGCTACAATGCAATAGCCCTCACTGTTTAAGTCTGGAACATTTCATTTCATCCACAAGAATGCTTGCACAGGAAAAATTTACCAGTTTCCTTGGTTTGTCTCGCTACAATACCATACAGTACCTGTACTCCTGTTTACCCTTTCTGTTGACTTCGTGAGAAGTTCAGATGGCAGAAGAAAGCAGGGTGTAAATGTTAATGATGACACTTCTTCCATTTTTTTTTGGTGAATTTATAGTATCACACCTGTCTTTATTTCTGTATTAAAAATATGTATCTTGTAATGTCTACACTATTCCAAGACATTTTTATTCTATGATATTTCCACTGGAAATTAAGGATAACTGAGATATTAATTTTTCACGATTATTACTTTCGCTCAGTCACAAGTGTCACCATGATTTGTTTATGAATGGCGGAGGTGGTCTGACCCCTGCTCACGCATCACTCCAGGCCTCCTAGTTAGGTTAGGTTTTCTTGGTTGGTTGGTGTGGGATACTCAGGTGGTCCTTACACTCAGGGGTAAAGGAAACACACTGATGTCAAGTCCGTAAGTTCTATTTCTGGTACAAACACAAAAAGGAGTTAAGACAGGGGTAAACAGCGTCCTGTCTTGGAATCTCTCTGGGTATCTCTCTCTGCCCATGCGCGTACAGCGCGCATGTGCCCAAAGCCTGAACTAATGCTTGGTGACAAAAGGGAGTATGATTATAAAACATATAATACAGAGACCTGAATCAATAATGGTAAATAGTACAGAGTTACATATTACAGCCATATTCGTCTCATATATCTACAGTTGGTAATATATTTTTTTATTTGCAGGGTATGCTAAAAAAAAATTCAACTTTTTCCATTATGATTGTTGGGTGGGGGGGGAGGGATCTATAAAAAACACGTGATTTCCGTTTGAAACTCATCAAAATACATAGGAAAAACCTATTTTTAATATAAAAATAAAGACCAGTGTGATACTATAAATTTGCCCTTTTTTCCTTCCAGTGGGGATGCAACTTTAAAAGCAAGTGGAAAAAATTTATGATGTCATTACTCAGTAAACAACATGGATATATCTAGTCAAAGAAGACTGGCACGCGGGAGGCAGCGGAGGAAAACTGGCCGTCAGAGAACTGTAGGTTGGCTAGAAGAGGTGACAATAGAGCAGTGTGTCAGTCCTCAAGAAGATACTGATACATTGGATGATACTGAAGATGATTCTGATGAGTGTCATGATTCAAAAACTGTTATGGTAGCTGACCACAGGGAAGTGAATTCTAAAAAGGCAGAAGACAGATATACAAAACATGCTGTTCATCCTTCATATACCAAGAACAGACATAAACAATTTCAAAGTAAGTTTTTTATGTGAGCTCACATTTATAAAATTTCAGGGTTTTCCTTCTAAAGAACATGATCACTTGGTGATCAGATCATGGTTTTGAAGCTAGTGGTAGGCAAGAACCTAGTGATTGTTGTTACAGTACAGTACCTATATGCATAAGTCCCACAGGTTGGACTAAGTGAGGAAGAGAAGGACAAGTTCTGGGATAAGTTGATTTGTGTAATATCAGAGCTTTGTGAAAGGAAAATTGTTTAGTACTCGGTAGTGACCGAAAAGGCCATTTTGGCGAACACACATAGGGTTATGAAAGTGTGCATGGTGAAAAAAGCTTTGGAAAAGTAATATGGAAGGAGAAAGAATACCCTGTACAGTATATGAGTTTGGGGATGCACTGAAAATGGTTGTATGCAACATGTTGTTTGAGAAGAGGGTAAGTAGGCTAATCATGTATGAGACCCTGTATTTGTGTTCAAATGAGGCAGAAAGTCAGATCAGCAACCTGGGACTTAGTCACAAATTTTGTGATGCCATATGCCAGCAGGGTCTACCATTAGACAACACATGCCTCCAGTATCTTCCCAGTTGGTAGTACCTCCCTGTTTGATAGATGCCTACTACCTACTGTTGTGCCATATATTGCAATGTTGCACAGAGGGCCAAATGGCACATAGAACTACTAAAATACTTACGGGTTCAGTTGACATCGATAAAGCCCTCATTAATTAAGTGCAGCTTTGGTTTAGGGTATTGTGAAATCATAACATTTTAATAGTTTAATGGCTAGAGGGTATATTACAATATGGAATATGGACAAGGGATTGGTTAACTTAATATATCAGTACTTGTAAGGTCCTGGGAGTAGGGGTAACAACAACAAATGGGCGGGTTCGTTGACTGCTTCAGAGGGAGGGTTAGGGTTCACATTTCAAGTTTTCACCTTACACTTATAATAAATAAAGTGAATTTACTGTGTATAACAATGTCACCTAATATAAATCACTAGAGCAGTACTGATATACAAAAACCTGAGTAGTGTTCCCAAGTTCAGCAAATGTATGTCTGCCTTACTGTATATGGAATAGCAAATCAAATAGTGGGCAGAAAAAAGGACATCTTTGGTGAAAGTAGAAGTTCATCAAGGTTTTGTCTTGAGTCCCCTTCTGTTTATTATGGTGCTGGAGGCACTATTACAGGACTGGTGTGCCCTGGAAATTATTGTATGATGACATCTTAGTGCTAATAGCATATAGTATTGAATAGGCAGTGGAGAAATTCCAGAAATGCAAGGAAGGAATTGATTTAAAGGGCTCGAGCGTGAATGTGGCAAAACAAGTGCTGGAAAGTAGAAGATGGCCTTGTGTTGTGTGTAAGAAAGGTGTCAGCAGCAACTCAATAATGTGTAGCGAGTGTGGAAGGTGGGCAAAAAGTGGAGTGGATGTCAGACTGCACGATGTTACATAAGTTTCTTGTACAGTGATCCCGCGGTTAACGAACGCCTCAGTTAACGAAATTTCTGTTAACGAATTACCTTCCATAAGAATCTTCAATTCGGTTTACAAAATTTTTACGAAATCATGTCAACATGTTTTCGCTTGCTCACCAGCTGGAATATTAGTCCGCCAATACAGTAATCGGTTCTAGGGCTTAAATTCGTTCCCATTTGAGTAAATATCAAGAAGGTTGTACTATTTAATAATTTTCCAAGTTTTATATTAAAATTTTAAGTCATTTTTAACACTTATTTAACATAATTGCGGTACAGGAAACTAGTTTTTGGTGCGCCAATCAGCCACTTGACTCACCCAGCAAGGCGTCAGTTTGTATCTCTGGTCAGTGGAGGTAACATCTTGCGTGTGGCTCTCTTGAACATAAACTATTTTTACGTTTTTACAGTACAATTATTGGTCATTCTGAAATTTATTTTACATATTGACAATATATAGTGCAGTGCAGTGTTGATTTAAAGAAAATAATCTTGAATTACACCAAGTGAACTTAAAATTTTATGGTTGAAATGACTGCATGAAGCATGGGGTGATTTCTCTTCCACCCCCACATCCTTCTCTTCTCCCTTCTCCACCCCCAATTCTAATTCCCATCATCATCAACCAGGAGCCTTCTACATACACACCTCAAAGTAAGTGTACTTTACTTCATTTATTTTGACTTTGTATGTAATTTTCGGTGAGCTGGAACCAATTACCCAAAATCCCATTGAAACAATGGTTTCGGTTAACGAATGACTTTCTGGAACGAATTGTGTTCGTTAACCGAGGGACCACTGTATGTGCATGTAATCATGTGGCCTTAGCAAAGTTGGAGAAACACAATATGTATTGGGGAAATATCCCTGGAGTTAGTTGATAAGTTTTGTTATATGGGTGACATGATCATTGCTAAAAGGGGTGCTGAAGCTAGATCAGTTGCAAGTCAGAAGTGGCTGGAGGAAGTTTACGGAGTTGCTAATTTTACTAAAAGCAAACAGACCTTCCTTTCGTATGAATGGAAAGATGTTTATAACTTGTGTGTTTGGCAGTGAAACTTGGGCAGTTAAAGAGGACGACTAACAGGTTTTTAATGAGCTGAAATGATAAAGGTGAGGTGGATGTGTAATGTGACACTGAACGACAAGATGCCCTGTTCATAGCTATGAGGGTGGCTGGGTATGGGCATTGAAAGTACAGTATTGGTGAGGTTTTGTGTATGGGTGGGTTGAGGTGGTTTGGGCATGCGGAAAGAATGGAGGAGACAATTGGATCAAGTGATGCACAAGTTTGAATGTAAGGGGAGGAGAACTAAGGGTAGACCAAGAATGACATGGAGAGAGGTTGTAAGAAAAGGCCTCAGAGATAAACACGACGAGAAAAGCTGCAAGAGACTGCACAGCATGAAGAGTTGCCATCAGGTGATTATGGCTAACCCACAAAAACAGTAATTGCCAGAACTTTGTCAGTGCAGTACTGTATAATCTGTATATTGAATATTTGATATTACAGTACTTTACTATTAAACTTTATTCCTTCATTGCTACTTATAACTTTTATCATTATTAGAGTGATAAAATAAAATGTAAAGGAAGGAGAAATTCAAAACACAATTTAGGGTAAATCCATTCATTCTCATCTTGCATGAGACTGAGCCACCTACTGTAGATCTAAGACTAAAAAACCTACCCCAAAAAACTAGGGTCGGACAGCCACATGCCCTTAAGAAGCATTGATCCACTGTATTCATTGGTTCATGAATACAGTACTACAGTATTCCCTAATACTTTATTGTATGGATTTGGTGTTATCCTGGATCCCCTGATACTTCTTACCTTTTGGAAGCCACTGCTCTGCATCAGTACCAGATGATGTACACCCTGGTAAATGAATTGGTGGACAATGTAAATAACATGCAGGCCATAGAGAAAAAGGAGGAACTAAAATGTCGAGGCAACGATCTCTCGCTCTTTCTCGACCAATAGTGGTGTTCCACCGGGTTCTGTTCTTTCACCTACCGGTACTCTCTTCCTTCATTTTATCAACAATTTAATTCAAACTACAACTAATTCTATCCATTCTTACACTGATTATTCTATTCTTCACTCTTCTCATTCCTCCCTTCCCCCTAACTGTCAAACTAGACGTTTCTAGAGCTGATATCGTTTCATCTATCAATGCAGATCTGTGTAGCTTCTTCAAATGGTGAGGTAGAAATTTGATTAAATTCAGTAGTGATAAAATACTGTATTTACCATTTACTCTTCAACATACTGTAGAAGATCTCGCACGAATCACATTTCAAGACAGAATCATCATTTCCTCTAATATATCCTGGAAGCCACACATCCACAACATTGCTAAAGCTGCCTCCCAAAAGCTGGGAATGCTGTACAGATACCATAGCTTCTTCACTCCTGAGCAGTTGCTTTAAGTTTATATGGGATTCGTACATCCTAACTTGGAGTACTACTCTCATATCTGGGGTGGTCATTCTTCTGTCCAACTGTTAGATAGGGTGGAATCACAGGCATTTTGTCTTATAACTCTCCTTCTTTAGTTGATAATCTTTCTTTCCTTTCTCTTAATCTTAATGTTATTTCACTCTTTCTCTTTTACAGATACTTTGACGGGCACTGTTCGGTGGATTTGGTATCCTGTGTACCACTGGCAAGGCAGTGGTCTCGTAACACTTGTCTTGCCCTCTGTGTCCACCATTTCTGAGTGGATGTCATTCACACAAGAATAACCCGTTATAGTAGTGATATCTCTGTTAGCCAGAACAATTGGTGGATAGCACTTCTGGGAATGAGAGTTTTCTGGGTAGTGAGACGACTCTCCAAAACCCGGAAAAAAAAATCTCCCATTCCCTGAATTTTCCGGGTATCGGGAAAATTTTCTCTTTACAGTGGTCCCTCGGCTAACGAACACAATTCGTTCCACAAAGTCATTCGTTAAAAAAATCCATTGTTTCAATGGGATATTGGGTAATTGGTTCCAGCTCACAGAAAAGTACATACAAAGTTAAAAAAAATAAATGCAGTAAATTACACTTACTTTGAGGTGTGTGTGTGTGTAGAAGGTTCCTGGTTGATGATGATGATGGGAATTAGAAGTGGGGTGGAGGAGAAGGGAGAAGAGAAGGAAGTGGGGATGGAGGAGAAATCACCTTTCAAGGGACCCATGCTTGCTGCAGTATTTTCACCAATAACAATTTAAGTTCACTAGGTGTAATTCAATTTTATCTTATTTAAATCAACTCTCACTGCACTCTATATTATCAATATGTTAATTAAATTTCAAAATAACCAATAATTTTAATGTAAAAATGCCAAAATATTCAAGACACCAATAGAATCTATGTTCACTCCACTGTAAACAAAGCCCAACTGACGCCTGGTGGGTGAGTCAAGTGGCTGATGGGCGCACAAAAAACTATTTCCCTGTACTGCATATACAGTATTATCAATATGTTTAAAAAATTTAAATGACTAATAATTTTAATATAAAACTTGCAAAAATATTA